CCAAGAAGAGCAAAGCCAAGGAGCCGCCCCCCAAGAAAGCCAAGAAAAGCAACAGCGGCGCCAACACCTCCAGGTCAGCCCCGGCCCGCGTCTGGCCGCTCTTGTCGTTTGATTGCTTCTTCATGCTAATTAGCTTAATGGGGGTTTTTGATGAAGGGAGCCCCCTCGCCTCACAAGCAGCACCTCCCAGCCGTGAGCTGAGCTTCATTTTTGGGGGGGGGCTGATGCTTTCCCCTGCCACTCCCACTTAAAAAACGACTTTTTGGGTCTCGAATCCTTGAATCCTCAAATTTTTCCTCTTTTATTTTTTCTTTTGGGAGGAGCTGAAGGTTTGAAATTACTCGAGAGCTGCGCCTTGAAGGGGGGCAGCCTTTAACCCCCGGCAAAAAGGAGCCGTTGGGCGTATTCAGCTGTAACGAGCTGAAATTAAAAATTAAGGAAATATCGAACGAGCTCTCAGAGCTCCTCTCCAAGAGTATTTCAGTCTCCGACTAAACCCCAGCAGGTCGTTGCCTCCGTGAACCTCTTCCTTCACTAATTCCCACCTGATTTTTCACCCAGACTTGGTTTATTTACTGCGGTAGCACCGAAACCGCTGCAATAAATCTGTCCCAGCCCACCTCCCCCGGGTTTGAAGTGCCCGAGGAGTCAAGAACCCCGATGGTGACCTTGAGCTCAGACTTGGGGTGTGCAGCAGCAAGTTGAGCTCAGATTTTGGTGTCTAAGAGCAGGTTGAGCTCAGATTTTGGTGTCCAGGGACAAGCTGAGCTCAGACTTGGGTATCTAAGAGCAGATTGAGCTCAGATTTTGGTGTCTAAGAGCAGGTTGAGCTCAGATTTTGGTGTCTAAGAGCAAGTTGAGCTCAGATTTTGGTATCTCAGAGAAGGTTGAGCTCAGATTTTGGTGTCCAGGGACAAGCTGAGCTCAGCTTTGGGTGTGCAAGAGCAGGTTGAGCTCAGATTTTGGTGTCCAAGGATAAGACAAGCTCAGACTTTGGTATCTAAGAGCAGACTGAGCTCAGATTTTGGTATCTCAGAGAAGGTTGAGCTCAGCTTTGGGTGTGCAAGAGCAAGTTGAGCTCAGATTTTGGTGTCTAAGAGCAGGTTAAGCTCAGATTTTGGTGTCTAAGAGCAGGTTAAGCTCAGATTTTGGTGTCTAAGAGCAGGTTAAGCTCAGATTTTGGTGTCTAAGAGCAAGTTGAGCTCAGCTTTGGGTTTCCAAGAGCGACTTGAGCTAACATCAGGTTGAGCTCAGCTTTTGTGTCTCACAGTGGCTCGAGCTCAGCTTCTGCGTCCCAGCCACGTTGTTGAGCTTCAAGCTCGGGCCGTCCAGGCGGAAGACGCCGATCTCTGGGCTGGGAAATTAAACTCCTCTGAGTGATTTAGGGCTCCCGTTGACGAGGTTAGACCCGGCTTTTCACCGTCCCGCTTCGTAGCCAACGTGTTTAATTGTTCCCTAGTGGCAAGAAGGAGCCCATGACGGTGAAGAGCAACAAACCCCCTCCGGCCTACGAGTCGGAGGAGGAGGAGAAGTGCAAACCCATGTCCTACGAGGAGAAGCGGCAGCTCAGCTTGGACATCAACAAACTCCCCGGCGAGAAGCTGGGCCGCGTCGTCCACATCATCCAGTCGCGAGAACCCTCCCTCAAAAACTCCAACCCCGACGAGATCGAGATCGACTTCGAGACCTTAAAGCCCTCGACCCTGCGGGAGCTGGAGCGATACGTCACGTCGTGTCTGCGCAAGAAGAGGAAACCTCAAGGTGAGTTTTGAGCCGTAAAAACGGCGTTTTGCTCTTTGATCCAGCCTAAACTTGAGATTAACTGACAGGATTTTGGTGAGGGCGAGTCTTTAGGTGCTCGATCACCTCGGCTGGCACAGAAAAAGGATTTTATTTCACTTATTCTGTTTTTATTTTCATCTTACTGGATTTATTCTTCCTCTAACGACGCGGCAAATCCTGGAGGTGAGGCCGCTGATTCCTCTCGCCCTGATGTCGATGTTTGAACTGGAATTAATTTCGTCACAAAGAGCTGTTTCGTTTTCTTAAAGCCACGATCTGCCCAACGAGAGGCCGAGCTTCGCTTTGGGGCGGGCAAAAGAGTTTTCAACTGATTTTAAATTGATTTTAAACCGATTTTAAGTGGATCTTAAATCTATGCGTCCACTTGTTATATCCATAAATTCCAGTTAAATACACCCAAAGGTTTCCCAACCCTTAGGCCGGCCTAAAGCGGCTGCGTAGAGCCAGACCTTGCCCTCGGGGCGGTTTAGGAGGATGGAGAACGACCTCGCCAGGGCGCGTGTCGCGTGGCTGCACATAAATCCTTGTTTAAATCCTCCTTTAAGTCCAGGTTTAAATCCTCCTTTAAATCTAAGTTTAAATCCCAGTTGAAATCCAGGTTTAAATGTGAGTTGAAATCCAGGTTTAAATCCGAGTTGAAATCTAGATTTAAATTCAAGTTGAAGTCCAGGTTTAAATCAGAGTTGAAATCCAGTTTAAATCGGAGTTGAAATCCAGTTTAAATCCGAGTTGAAATCCAGTTTAAATCCGAGTTGAAGTCCAGGTTTAAATTCCAGTTGAAATCCAGATTTAAATCCTGGTTTAAATCCAGGTTTAAATCTGAGTTTAAAACCTAGTTTAGATCCCAATCGAAATCTGAATTTAAATCCCAGTTGAAATCCAGGTTTAAATCCTGGTTTAAATCCAGGTTTAAATCTGAGTTTAAAACCTAGTTTAGATCCCAATCGAAATCTGAATTTAAATCCCAGTTGAAATCCAGGTTTAAATCCTGGTTTAAATCCAGGTTTAAATCTGAGTTTAAAACCTAGTTTAGATCCCAATCGAAATCTGAATTTAAATCTCAGTTGAAATCCAGGTTTAAATCTGAGTTCTTGAAATCTGGGTTCAAATGTGAGTTGAAATCCGGGTGTAAATCTCAGCTGAAATCCAGGTTTAAATCTGAGTTGTTGAAATCCAGGTTTGAATCCCAGTTGAAATCCAGGTTTGAATCTGAATTGAAATCCAGGCTTAAGTCTCAGTTTAAATCTGAGTTGAAATCCAGGTTTAAATCCCAATTTAAATCTTGGCTGGTGACGCCCCACCCCACTGAAATCCCATCACCCCGCAGACCAGGGCTGACAACAAGTGGTGTTCAAGCTTGGCTCGAGCCCGGCTCAGGGTCCTTCGTTAAGGACGCCGGGGGTTCCTTAATTAGCCACTAACGAGGTGGCGCCATTGTGTTCCCGCAGCGGAGAAGGTCGACGTCCTGGCCGGTTCCTCCAAGATGAAGGGCTTCTCCTCCTCCGAGTCCGAGAGCACGAGCGAGTCGAGCTCCTCCGACAGCGAAGAGTCCGAAACAGGTTAGACCCGGCTTATTTAACACCTCGCTCCTAGACCTGGTTTCTGTACAAATAAATACATTTTCAGTCCTGCCTCGGTCTTTTAATTATTATTTTGGGGAGGGGAGGGTGAGCTTCATAGCCAAAAAAAAAAAACCCCAACAGGTTTGTGGCTCACGAGCCCGACACGATTCGATCGAATCTTCGAACAAAATCGAAAATTTCGTTTCCAAATTCGTCTCAAAACGACGCGAGTGCCGCCCGCTCCGCTCCTGCTCCGGCTTTTGGTTCGGTTCTTCTCCCGTTCTGAATTGTCGCGCTCGCATCCCCGCCTCCGTTTGAAATTTGCGCCGTCGCTTCGAGCCGATTTTAGCTCCTCGGCTTGGAGGTTAAGCCGAGCTTAAGTCAACAGTAAGACTTTTCTGCGTCGCGATATGAGAGAAAACCGCGCCGGAAGATAATCAGCGTCGAGCGTTGCAGCTGGGTTGAGGGTTTTGGGGCTGGTTTTCGGCAAATCGGAAAATGAAACGGTTTGGCGTAAAATTCCACCCCGGGTGCGATGGGGGGAAGAGCAAAACCTGCTCGTTAAACCAGGTTTTATCCGAGTTAGTGTTAGTTCTGCCAAGCTCGTGTCGGTCTTGGCCAACGTCAACCCAACCCAAACCCAGAACCCTCACCCGGTGCCAGAGCAACAGAGGTTAAGCTGAGCTTAAGTCAAGATTAAGACTTTTCTGGGTCAGGAAATGAGAGAAAACCGTGCCGGAAAATAATCAGCATCAATTGTCGCGGCTGGGTTGAGGGTTTTGGGGTTGGTTGTCAACAAATCAGAAAATGACACAATTTGGCGCTAAATTCTACCCCGGATTCAATGGGGGGAAGAGCAAAACCTGCTCGTTAAA